GTTTAGGGCCGGTGTAGGTACGGAAGAGGGATTGTTCCACGTAACCTACAAAGAGGCAGGCGTAGCTTGGGCCCATGCGGGTACCCATGGCTACCCCCTTTGTCTGTAGGAAGTGGGAGGAATTGAAAGTAGAGTTTTCCCCTGATTCTAAGTGACTTCAATTTTTCTAAGGCTCCTCATGACACACTCAGTCAAATGCAATCTTGATGTCAAGGGCTGTTACTCTCATCTCACCTCACGAATTCAGTTCTTTTGTTCATGTTTGACCAAAGGCTGTAATGAGTTCTGGAGCTGAATATCGCTGGCAGAACACAAACTGAGTGTCACTGAGCAGCTTACTGCTAAGTAAATGCTGCTTGATCACAAAGTTGATGACATCGTCTATTCCTTTACTGATGATCAACACTAGACTATTGAGGTTGTAATTGGTTGGGTTGAATTTGTCATGCTGTTTATGTACGGGACATACCTGGGCAATTTTCCACATTGTTGGGTAGATACCAGTGTTGTAACTGTACTAGAACAGCTTGGCTCAGGGTGCACTCATCTGGAGCACTCATCTTCAATATTATTGCCAGAATGTTGTCAGGGTCCATAGTCTTTGCAGTATACAGTGCCTCCGGATGTTTCTTGACATCACATGGATTGAATCAAACTGGCTAAACACTGGCATCTGTGATGCTGGGGACCCATGGAGATCCAATTAAAATTATTCTAAGTACGAAAAGAAAACTTTTTCCTTCATTTTATTAACTGAAGTGCAATTCTAAATTTTATTGTTTTGCAGATATGGATGACTATCTTAGGAAATGAAACTACTGTAGCCCGTGGCTGCAGGGAAAGTTGTACAAATTCCAACACAGAGGAGAGTTGCAATGAGGTGATGGACATGACATATTGCATCAAGTGTTGCCCAGATCCTAAGTGCAATGTGGAGGTATTGTTCAGTCGTGGCACCAAGATAAGACAAGACACATGTAATATGCTTGCCATTCTTTCACTTTTCATTTCAATGAAATCAATGATGTAAGAGGAAGATGTTAAAACTTCTAAGTCCAGACATTTTAAAATCCTCACTCCACATAATCCTGTTTGATGTCATTTTGCATGATTCCAATTGACAGCCCAATCACCAGAGTCTGTGGTATTTCTGCCTCACATAATTGCAGCTCTCAATGTAACTCAGATTTAATAGCACATCATTACACGCTAAACAAATTAACAGTAGTTGTGAAGGTATTCAATCTTGTCATTTCCATCTCATGCTTATTGACCCCAATGAATTGTCAAAGGAATACAAACAAGAATTAAAATGGTGGATGACTGGTTCAGCTATTCACCATTAGAACTGGCTGAATCATTAGGTCTAGCTCTTCACTGCTAAAAGTTGCTCACTGATTCAGGATTAATCTGGAAAGCAAAGGTAACTCCCATTTTGTTTATGTTTTTGCAAACTCTCTTCTTAAATCCCCTCTCCTCCCCAATCTCACCTCCATAGTTCACAGATGTTTTTGTCACAAAGTTTGAGGCCGTTTAAAACAGATGCCTTGCCAATTCTATCCCTTACCCAAAGCCACCAGGCCAAACTTCCTCCAAGTTTCCCCCGTGCCCTAGCCCTAAACTTGCACCTTTCTCTAGTTTCTCTCCTGTCTCTCCTCATGCTGTCTCTGAACTCACCTATCCACAATCTTACTCCTACTAAAGTACTGACCACCCAACTTCCCTTTCCGGCTTATGTTAGTGGATAACGTTAACAATTCTTTCCCTCCGCTACACTCCATCATTCTTCACATCTAACATCACTCTTCTTCTCCAAAAAACTCCAAACCCCCTTCATCCTTATACAATGCCTTACAATAACCTCCCTTCTCTGTTGTAAGTGTGGTTAGAGATGAATGTGGAGCAGGTATTAGTAACCAGAACTATTTATTGAACAATATGCAATACGTTGTACACAGAACAAGAAGAGATCCCTGCATAACTATCATGGAGTCAGTCCTTCTATCCTATTGATAGCTGCTACATTATTACCACACCTCCTTCCACGTGTTCATCCTGTGTCTCAGTGTCTACCCTTTCCAGGCATTAATGTGTCCACATTTTCCCATCATTTACGTATCTATTCATTATGAACCTGCAACCAGCTCACTTTCCCACCGAGTCTCTTGTGGTATGACTTCCAAGTCAACCACTTGACTGGCTACAACTATTGAATTCTTATTGGTTGTGGCTGCATGGACAGACTCATTATGCAAGGGTACATTCCAGATATTCTTGGGCTGTTTGGAAAACCCTATTGCTGCATCATGTTATTACCACTTCTGTAGCATCTTGGCGGTTACTCCCTCCACTGTCTCCTCAAAAAGCTGTGTGATATCTGGAGTTCCCTGCTCTGGCTGTGGTTAGTGATGCTCCTGTTGGCTCTTTTGTCTATTTATTCCCAGAAGGATGGCATACAGTGTGGGACACATAGGGGTTGTCTCGAAGCAGTCTGGATATGGTATGGATTTTTTATGCTACGGTTTGTAAATGAGCTGTCAGGCCATGAATGCTTCCTTGCTCAGCGATAGTTGATTCAGAATGGCATGGAGGATCTGTAAAATTTCTCATCCCGTGTGCTATTTTCTTGCTGTCATGCGACATAAGATCATTAGTGATGTGCTCCTAGGTCATGGAGGCAAACTGTGGAGGGTGAGAGTGGTTCTAGTCTCAGCACTGCACAGCATCTGAGACTGAGGATGGAGACAGCATCTCCAGTATCAAGCTTAAATCTTACGTCCATTAAGAGCTCTGTGCTCCAGAAATCTTCTGTCACCTGGGTTACTTCTTCTAGGTAACTGGGGGGAGTCTTCTACTTCCTGTATGCCGATGGATTTTTGTGGCTTTGACGGGATCCATGTCTCAGAATATGGAAGTTTCTTGCTGCAGCATCGCTTTAAAATCTCTGCAGGCACAACAGTCTGTTTTAGTGGTGGGCAGTCTTAATGCTGGTAGGATGTTTTAGCACCACATATGGAACAAGAGGCAGTAGTGGTTGGGGTGTCCTCTTCTGGTCATGGATGAGTATTAGTGAATAATTTGAACCATTTTTGATTAACAATCCGCACCAAATCCAAAAACTGTTTAAACGTATCTGGTTCCCTTCTAGTCAGGTGCATGATCTGTTTTAGTTGTGACCAGATCTCAGATTAAGTGCCCCAATTCACACCGGTTCTGAATGGGATACCTCAAATGGGATACCTTCTCTGGTGTGAAAGGATGAAATGTCTCCCCTTCTCTATTCGACCACTGCCTCGGTCGATCACAAGATTAATGTAGAAGGAATCCCTTCCTTATGCATACTTTTCTCCCAGACCCAAATGAACTTAAGTTTACGAAGGGGACAATTTAACCAGGTTTTCTTGAATTAACAAAAATAGTGAGTTTATTAATTACTGCACCCAAGAATACTGTCACAACACACGTACACAGAGATTAGAAAAGGTGAGACAAAAAAGTTCAATGTTAAAACAAGTTTATATGGATCAGTCTCTGAACTTTTTATGAAGTGCAGAAAAAAACGTGGCTGTTAGTGAGTTGTTGCAGTAACATTGAAATTGGCAGTTAAACAGACAATTTTCAAAACTTGTGGTTTTGTAGGCTGATGACAGTCCTTTGTCCTACTTCCCATTTTGACTGGTTTACAGCATTGAGAGTGAGAGAGAGTATTTAGTACAAAACTTGAGTATTGATGAATAAAGACCCATTTTGTTAAATCTTTTTGTCTTGCACTCACTAGGATAGTTCACAAGAATTCAAATTTGCCTGCTGCAACCTACCTTTACCGGTCAGTATAGACATTTGGATTCCTACAGTTAAACACGCCATGAGATTGGCTTTATCAGCAACCTCATAAATAGAACCAGACCCATTTGTTCACCAATCAAACATGTCGCTAAATAGGACTCATCAAAGACATCCTACAGGAATATAGCTGCCCTGATCAGATCATGTCTTCCTATATATTGTGCAAACTCACGGAAGGCCCCAAGGCAGTCACTGAAAAGTGTCAATTCTACCTCAGATTATCCTGGGGGAGCGTATCTCAAAGGTTTCAACAATAGATGAAGCTAGCTGTTTCA